AAGGAAGAGATGGTCGATGTGTTGAAAACAGCAGCTGTTTCCAGATTGTTCTTTTTGTTCCGGTTTGTATCTTGCTATTGGGGTCTCCAGCTGGGCTAATTTTAGAGCGATATAATATGTTTGTAAAATCGCTGTTTTTTTCATTGGCTCTGTGGCTCCTCTGAAAAGTTTTGAATTCCCAAGTATTAGTTTGTCGTACTTGATATAACTGCTCTATTCTGTTTCTTTTCCCAACAAATTATTTATGCATGCAAACCACCTGGCGCAAATCCGTAGTCATTTGCCCAACAAATTGGATACATCTGAAACCTAGGTATCGGGGGGTTAGCAAAGAATCACATGTGCAAAAGTTCTTATACATACATTCATGATTCCACTATATATACACGCAGACTATAATGTGGACTATTGATTATTAATGACCCCACCATGTAAGGAGTTTGTACAATTCAACTGGGGCGAGTGTATTAATCAAGAGTCTACATTACAGTAGATGGTTTTCATCAGGATCTTTCTGACTTGTGTGTTGCGTGGACCAATCTGCAGCTCCTTTGAGCGATGTTCATAGTGACCACATCTGCGCAGCATCGCACTTGCTTGAACCGAAGACCGGACGGAGGGGGATGGGTGGCAGTCATTCCAAGTTCCAAATCCTTGCCGTTCTGGGCGCAAGACCCTGGGCCACAAAGGAGAGACACACAGCTAGGACTCGGACACCCACAACTAGGACATGTTGAAACATCCTCAGGTCGTGACAGATCATGCTTGGATGATGGATTTTTGGGCTTAGACAGGATACAGATTCTGGGTAGGACCTCCTTTATACCGTTGAGCACCAGGATCAAATGGATCCAATGGACCCACCTTGCAGTCACCATGTCACCATAGCTCCTCTTGGTCGGTCCTCACAGCTCAGCCTGGCGCGGATCGCTAAGCCCATGCTTCGCCCAGGCTGGAGGCGAACGCTACCGAGATGGAGGCGTGGTGATTCGACGGGTTTGTGCGTTGGGCGTGGTGACCCTCTCAGACCCCAGAGATCGCCAGCACCGGCGGCCCAGGACTCGGCCCATATGGCCCGTTGGTGAAGAAGCGGTAGATGGCTATGGTGAGGAGTTTGCGCAAGCAGATGGTACGTTAGGGGGTGAAGACATGTTGGTCCCCATGAAAAGATTGGCGTTGGAAATCGCAGATGTAGCTGTGAGCCAACAGGCAGAAAAAGAGCTAAAAGAGCTGGCAGTATCCCGAGGAGTTGTGGTCTGGCAGTTAGTAGTGTTTTGCGTGCAATATTCTCTTTGTGGTCCTCATGAGTCCTCATGCGCTGGAAATGCAGACCATGCTCCCACTACAATGTTTTCAGAGTAGGTGGCACTGGCACCCCAAGATGTCCACCCTCCCTCAGACAATCATGGAAGCTGAGCAGGGAGAGAAGCCAGTGGAAGACCCCAGGAGCCTATGTTCCATTTCCATGATTTCTTCAAGAAGTGTTACTGTTACTAGTAACTTCTTGTTCCTAGTAGTAATGCCCTTGTTCCTAGGTCCTAGTAGCGATGCCCTTGTTCCGTAAATCAACTAACTTGGGGATTGTGCCATTCTTGTTTCTAATTGTTTCTAATTACTAATTATTGTTTCTAATAGCTTCTTGTTACTACTAGTAACTAGTAAGGCACTTGTTACTGGAAGCGATGCACTGGTTCCTAGTAGCGAACATTGTTTCTAACCACCAAGTTGACGGCTGCCTGGCTCAGGTGACAAGTGACGACGACGACGTCAGTAGCCTGGCAGATGAGACGGACCGAGACAGACCGAGACGGAGGAGGCAGTTTTGGGCAGTCTTGGCCAGTTGGGTGCCATGCTCCTACATTCAAATCAGTGTACAGGCATGTTGATAAACCTACTATAGATTCATTGGATTCTGCTCTAGGAGATGTGCTTTGTTCTATGGCGGCCATCCCCGACCAACATCGCCGGTTGCCACTGTTTCGCAAGTGACTGACCGAAACCTTTTAAGAGCTACAAGGGAGATGTCCCAGTCAGTGGATAACCTGTAACCATTCTATAACCCAGACACTCCATGTATGCCATATATGCCTACTTTTGACCCCCAAAACCACCCTAGTCTAGGCATATATGTAATATATGGCCTGCATGGAGTGTTTGGGTAATTACTTTTTGTTCGGGGGTTGGCTTTCCCTAAGAACACCAAAGAGGTGGCAAAGGTAAACTCAGTGAGTCAGACGATGACAGCTCACCTGCCCACACCTTCGAGTGACCGATGTGGCTCGACAATCCGTTGGCCCTCCAGATCTGTCCCAGTTGGTGTTCGAGCCATTGGTGACGTACCTGTTCTGTGGGCCTCTTTTGGACGAAAAAAACGAGTTGCAGCGCAAAAAGGGTACTAGTCATACTAGTCGTCACTACTTCGATGTGAAAGCCCACAGCGTGAGGAATTATTTTGACCAACCCCCCCATGTTGATCGCTTGCTTTGCTGGTGCGTGGCTCTCGAGGTGACGCTGAGAACGCGAGTGACGACTCTGAGAACGAGAGCGACGCTGAGAACGAGAGTGTCTCTGAGAACGAGAGCAACGAGAGCAACGAGAGCAACGGCAACCGATCGAACGGAACGTCGAGAGAGGAGCGCGGTCAAGGCAATTGATGTTTGTCGCGAGCCCGCATAACAAGGGGATGGCATGGGATGGCTCAAAGTGTTGCTTTCGAAAGTCTTCACACATATTAGACCTGATTATGGAAACAATCTTCAGAGACATGCAATAATCATTCAGAATAGGAGGTTCTCCATTTAGATCTGGATCACTCTCCAATGGTGGAATGGGGGTGGATACGTGCTCCTCTTCAGGGTGCTATATATTGGTCATAGATGGTCATGGCCTTTGTGTTGGTGAAGACTCACCGGGACTGATGAACCGAACCGCGGTTCAACTGTCGACTGATGTGAAGGGAGTGAATTTGACCCGCGCCATTCGGGTTGCAGGTTGCCTCCTGTTCAATTTCGCTGGACCATAAGTAGCAAGCTGATTCGGCGTTGGAAGCAAACGACCCGGCAATGAAACTCACCAAATCTCAGCTTGGGGAAGCAAACGAACGAGGGAGGATTTGAACATCCAACTTCGTGCTTGTCAAGCAGTGTGCAGCCCCAAGGGCAGACAGCTTGCAAAGACGACGCCTTACCCATTACTGTAGGCAACTGGATCATTAAGAATATAAGCCCGGCATCATCGTGTGTCGCCTTGCCCGGATGCTGTTTGACGTTCGGGGGGGTCTATTTTCAAGGCCGCAAGCCGCAAGACACCCGCGAGACAGATCCAGGTTTTCTAGGTCGGCGGGTTGGTTGGATCTAAGATTCTTTGTGAGGAGGCCTTGATCTTGCCCACAAGTGGCCTGGGCTTCTTCCTCACCAACAAGACGCACAAGTTCTTCAGGCGAGATGGGCTCCATGCTCAGCTGCGGGAGATGTGCCGAAGCAGGTTTGCGTGTTGGAAGTGATTGAAGCTTGTGAGTCATCACATGCACACATTGTCCGCACATATATCAGCAAACTGAGCAGTAGGTTCCCAAGATCCCAGACCCAGTGCTGTCCCTTGTTGTGCACGCAACTAGCGTTTTCATGCCAAAAGACACTGCTGCAAGCAGGCTGCCAGACCTTCCAGTGGATCGGCGCGATGGGAGCTTCTCCTTCGTGGTTCAACCAGCAGCCTTGCTGCACTTCTCTTGGAAATGGTTGCGACATGCATACTTACTTCAATAGCCTATAATGGCCTGATAGACTTTGTGTTGACTGACGGTGCCATGCTCATGTGTTTGTTATGTCACAGTGGCAACCTCTTCAGCAGCATTGCTCTTGCACTGCGGGTCAGTCAGACCCTGTGCTGATGAGCACATTATATACAGGTACAAAATGACATCAGAAGGATGGCCTCACGTGTTCATATCAGCAGAAAGGCCAGAAGGAGTTTTCGAAACCAGGAGATGTGGGGGAGTCTTGGAAACACCACACATGGATGTGGATATGGTGGCTTAAGAGGAAATCCAAGAACCACATAATTACACTATCAGAAGGCAGTTGTTGTTGTTGTGAGTTGTTAATCCCAAACTTGCTGCCGACGCCAGCAGAATTTTGTTTTCTTAAGGTTTGGATCCTGAAGAGTCTCAATGAAGTTCTTGTCCTACCAACGGCCCTGGAACGGAGTGAATGGCATGGCCCCTTGGAAGACCGTTTTTCTCTACAAACAGGTGGCAAACTCCACTTCCTTGTTAGTTTCAGGAACACCTCCTGTCCAACCGAGGACACCATCTACACCATCACCTCCCTGAACATCTCCGAGGACTTCCCCAACAGCACGGGACATCCGAACGAGGCGCGACAGCACCGGAGCTCAGACCGTTGATGGTGGGACCTGAGTAAACTTTACATGCACAGGGACACACGCGGACATATACTGTATATATATATATATTACTATACTTACATATAGATGTTACATTACATTATATTTACATTTCTTGCACAAGTAGTGAGCAATCATGATGGACAATAATTACATGTCTTCTTTCTGCAATGATTCTTTCCATCATGTTTCCTGCTACCATTTTGACAGATTTGAACCTCCCGTATCACCTCGACCTTTTGGTTCAGAGAACTTTTTTCGCTGTCGGAGCTGCAGCGGCTCGCGCTGCGGCCCGCGCTGCCTCCATGGCGAGTGTACGGAACGATGCGCTACACAAACGTACCTGAGCTGTTTGAGTGGCCACTCACACCCGTTCCAGGCAGACATTTGTTTGTGATGGAGCAGGCCTTCTGGGTCTAGAATTCTAGAACCATGGGTCAGCTGGGTCACCTGCTAGAGCCACTGAATGATACTGAGGAGCCTTGCAGAGGTTCCCAGCCGGTCCTAGCCTTAAAATCTTGACCCTGAAAAACTCTGAGAATCAAAAGAGAATGGGACCGATGGACAACCTATCTTGAACGAGCTCCCAGTCATTGGCATGCTGGGGGCAACAGACCTTGGACGCACCCAGACTTAGGAAGAACACTATCCTCCCAACCATTAGGAATACTAGTGGCAAACCCTCTATATATATTATTGGACCTCAAAATTCAAGAAAGTAGATAGAATACTTTCGAAGAATAACAACCGTTTTTTGTTTGTTTGGGCAAAAATAAGCTGGTAAAGAAAAGGGCAGTGTTGTCTTTGTTAGCTTGCGGATTCCTCCGTTTCTTCTTTTATTTACATGGGTCGTAGAATGCAAAGAAAAGCGTCGCCTCGTCGTTTCTTTTCCTTGGGTTCTCTTCAGCGCGCGGACCCGCCGAGGCACCGTGGAGGGATCCTTGAACTTCTACGACAACCACCTGGGCTGTGGCACTGCGGCGGACAAAGCGATTGCCTCCAGGCTCGGTGGTTCCAGCTCCTCGGTGGAGTCTTGTGGAGCTCCGGAGATCTGGAGGGAGAACTGGCCGGGCCGGGATTCGGCATGACCATGGCATGGCAATGATGAAGGTATCAGCATGGATAGGGCTTTTCCGTTGTTTTGACCACATACTCCCATGTACTTCCACAAAGAGTAAACATGGTGTTGTAATATAGAGATGACTTCTTTGTAAGGCTGCGTTCCCCATGCGATTGGGTGACTTTGTGCAAGCCCAGGTCACTTAATCCATGCGCTTGGTAGGTTACCGGTTACCATCAGAGGAGCCGAAGAACCAAACACCAAGCCGGACCCATTGGCAGCCCTGCGTCCGCCCGCCCAAAGCTTTGATTTTGACAACCCAGGCTACAACATCCTCAGCAGCTTGTGACGCAAGTTCGCTCATTTGGGCGGTAGGTGCGGTTGTGAAACCAACACCCCCTATGCAACATCACACTGTTGGAGGCGGAGGTGGTTTTCCTTTCGAAGTTGGTGAGTCCGGGTTCTATGTAAGTTTGAAAGAGTACGCCGCAACTAGAAAGTAACATCCCGCGTTTGGAATTCCGGATTGCCCAGCTTTCGTCGTAGCAGCATTTGGGATTGCAGAGGTCGATTTGAGTCGTGCTAGTTGTGCAGGGACATAAGAAGTCTCAGTCGATCAGGAGGTGCAATTCCCACTGCATCTAAAAAGGAACATGTAAGAAAAACATGTTCCGCGCTTGGGGGTCCGTGGCTACTAATGTTTGGATCTTCCCCCGGACGCGGACCCTTCTGTACCTATAGTAGGATAGTAGGATTTAGGACCGGATTTCAATCTGAAGCCTTGCTACGGTATGAAAACGCACTTCCGAGCGCTGCGCCGAGGCAATCAGGCTACTTTGATGCATGTGAACGCAGTGATGAGGGACTTGACACTGTGGATGGCCTTTGACATCCTTTTATACGCCTTGATAGGAAAAAGACCATGTTTTGACCCCAGAACAGGGGTCACTCAGGTTCTAGGTATTATAAACTATATTTGATGATTGACAAGGGATGCTCACCAGTGAGTAACCAACAGGTTGATGCTACCAATCGACCCCCTTTTGCTCCTAAAAGGGCATATTGCTTGAAATTGTTCTTATGCCAATGCCAAGTGGACGAAAGTCAGCAAGATGAGAACAGTGGTGCTCCACGAAGCCAAGGCCACTAGTTGCTCTCAGTTCAAAGTGTGAGCCCCATTAAGCGCACCATACCCGAACCACAAAAAACGATGCTCAGCGTAGCATTCGTGCTACATGTCTTGACTTACATACGGTATACCAAACAATGTTGTTTGGGGTGACGGGGCTTGTTTGTCTTCGCAGAGCCCAGTTTGGCTTCTCCCTCGGAGCCTTTGTCGGGGATATACCGGAAGAAGCGTCATTTGTTGTCAATGGGGCACATTGTATACCTGGATCTTCTAAGTGTGTAAAATGTTTGCCGAGCTGGGCTGGAAGATTCAGGCATCATTGGCATGGAGGAAGATGGACGGGTGTCTCTACCCCAAAAAGGAGGAGCGCTGATTTGGCACTCCTTGCCACAGGTCATGGACCGCCTTGTCAGATCATGCGGCAGAACTTGACCGATCCATGCACATGACCGATCTCACTGTTGGTTCCAGTTACATCAAGTAAAGAGTACTTAGGTGTCACTTGACTTGACTTTACTTGTTATGGTCATGACTTTACTTTACTTGAGACTTGTCAGTCTACTTGGTCACACTGAGCCTACTGGTCATGGTTCCTTTTGCAGTTCCAGTCTCACGTTCGGAAGCCTCAACGCGTTCCACCCAGGATCGCCATGAGATCTACATGCGGGAACTCCGCCACGACGAGCACTTCCTGGACCGAAAAGGTGGGAATCGGTGGTTTCTTGAGGCACAGAGGAACCCATCGGGATGGCATGTTGAAGGTTCGATCGTGAAGGTGGTGAACAAGAGGAAGGTGCTGATGTTATGGGATGAATCACACAACGGGTATTTTGGGATCATGACCGTTTTGCACAAGCGTTTCACGGTCGTCTTCAGATAAGACGCTGTAGGAAGGCCATGTGTGTTCACCTCACCCCAAAACTCTGCGGCAAGGTGTCCGAGTGCTTTTCTTCCTTCAGGTGCATTTTACTGTAAAACGTTGGAGAGGCGCCTGGGAAGGGCGAGCCAACCCCAGACCCCAAACCTTTGTGAGTCCGGATGGGACACCGCTTTGGGGCGCCAACCCATCGCCTCCGCGCAGGTCGCCACACCGCGGCCTTCTTCGGTGCCCGACGGCGGAAGTTCGCGCCCGACGAGCGCCGCTCGGTTCGGACACCGAAGCGGGGAAAACCCCTCGGTTGGGATCGTGGACTGGGAAGTCCGTGAACCATGGTGAAATAGCGATGTGAAACACAACGGTTGATGATCGATTAAGCCTTACTAAGCTCTCAACATCGTTTCGGGTTCCAATTCCTGTCAGATTCCTGTGACACGGATCTTCCCGTCGGATGACTCCAGTCCACCAAACTGGTCTGGAACTTGGTTCGTCCTCACATGGCAGTGTGGAACCGCTGGGGAGGACTGGACGGAAGACTTTGCCGCGAGCTCGGACGGAAGACGGAAGAAGAGGTGGTCCCTCCAAACAGGGGACGTCGTGATATGTTGTGACCAGTCGGCTGAGCTAGTCTGGCCAAAAGAAGCACGGGAGATGGGAATCCAAACTGGGTCCCAATACAGTGCAGAAACATTCAAGTGCGCAGGAAATAGACATATAAAACCTTATACTGCGAGAAGTATCCATAACATGTTTGTTTGCAGTGTAGTCTTGCTTGCCATCACGGCAGATGAGCTGTCCAGCCGCCTGAGGACAGCACATCAAGGATTGCCTCACACTGCAGGAGCCGCAACTGGGGCACACTGGTGCCCAAGGGTATGACCAGAAGGAAATGGGATGTCATTTGCCCTCCCTCCAGCAAACATGGAGTTGGGACAATGGCTTTTTGGAAAGCTAATTGAATCAGAAGTTCTTTCCTCTCTCAACCAGAGAGAGGCGATGTCAGAACCATGTTTGGTGGGAGGATCATGGGACATCCGCACATGGCTATGACATGTTTTTCCCGTTGGATTTTGGATGGTGCGGATCGTTTGTATTTTGCAACGTGTAAGTGATCAAATCAGTGGTGTTGTTCATGAGAGTCACTGCGCGCCCTTTTGGGTGGCTTTCGGATTCGGTTACTTTTTCAGGAGTGGCACACACGGCAGCATGAACAAGAACAAAGAGACCTTTGTCCCCGTTCCAGAACTAGCAAACAATTGAGCAACAATGATCTTCCATGAGGTCATGAGTGCCAAAGCATGTGTGCTAAGCGGTCAGAGCATCCTGTCATATGCGAGCGCACCACGCTCGCACGTGAAGGACCCAGTGGGGAAACCCTGGATGAACGAATTCACAGTGCGGCCATGCACCACAAACACTCCAACGAGAGATCAAGGTCTTTGACCCGGCCAGTGTCGAAAAGCTTCCCCGCTTATCTAACAGCTGTATGTATAGTATACACATATGCATACACACATTCTTCTTTGTGACCCAATAATGTGTGGCCTTATAGCCGCTGGTATTCCTCAGGCCACACTTTGCCTGTTCACCATCACATGAAATATGTACATGCGTCTCACAAAGCAAAGTTGTTTATTACTGTAATGGGCTTGCTTTCCCTTTTGATAGGGGGTCGGACTTGAGGTGTTTTGGAGCTAAGCCATAAGCCATTGCTACAATCCCGGTTTCGGCCCATGAATTGCTTCTTTGTCTCATGTCCGGCCGCAGGACAGTCATCCGAGGGACTCCTTCCAGGAGCAACGACGTGCTGAAATTCAGCTGGCGCAGGTTGAGAATAGCGGGCCGCATGGCCAGGAGTGACGAGGGGTGCGCCAGTGGGCTGCTGTACTGTCCGCCATGGGCGA